GTAGAGGGCTTGCTGGTAACTACCTAATCTACTCGAGACCCATCTGATTGTACTTCATTTCCAGGAGTCAAAAATTCTTATTCTTTCTGCCAGCCATGTAGTTCTCCATCACTGGTTGATCTGCTTATGGCTCACGAATCTATGAATCAACACTGACATTTTAATAGTCAACTAAATCTAATAGGAATATGAATCAAACATTTGAGATTTTTTGAGACAGGGTTGGCTTCAAACTCATCATCTTTCTGCCTCAACCTCCTAAAGGCTAGGATTACAGGGTGTGCCATGACACCCCAGCTTTAGTTCCTGTATTTTAAAGCAAACACTAACGTTTCTAGTACTGGTCACTTGCTTTAATATGCGTAGTAGAGGATGGACTATGTTTAGATATTATTTATTAGATTTGATAGTTTAACTGATCCTTCCCACCAATGACTCATTAAATGTGCCAGCAGAAACTAGGTTTATTATAGCATTTACTCCGTTCTACTCCCTTCTGCCCAAGCCTGACAATTACATATTAAAATAACAGACAATAATAGTTTCCTTTTCTGAAATTAGTGCTGAGTGGACACAAATTACCACACTATAAATGGAAATCTAAATGAGTAATACTAGCAGATGATAAAAACATGAAAGGCTTTTGATCTCTGCCTATTTAAAAACTGCTCTGACTTAAACAAATATATTCTTTAAATAAAAATCCTGTTAAGATCTGTTTAGTTTTCAGAAAAAGCCCTGCATTTTGAGCCAAATGAGATTACTGTCTCATTGATGTCACTCTAAAGAAAATCAGGTTAAACCAGGTTCAAAATAAAACCAAACACTAGCAATATTCTTTCAGACCAATCTAAACAATTACTGACTGCCTATGATATTCTTAAACATACAATAAATGATAGCACGCCCATTACACTGTCCCAAATGGAAAACTCTGTGGAAGTTTTACAGACTGTTACCCACAGAGCTTGGTTTGTGTTTCCCCTGTGGGATAAACATTCTCATTGCATTTCTAGGATCTTAAACAGTGCTACAGATAGCTCTTAATACTTGCCATTTATTTTTAGACACAGCATCAGGCAGATAGCCTTAATTTTTACTTTCTAAAGTTAACTGTAGCTGGGTATGGTGGCTGATGCCTGAAACCCCTACACTCTGGAGGCTGAGGTAGGATGATGGTGAGCTGAGGCCAAACTGGGTTACACTAAGTTTCAGGCCAGCCTGGACTACACAGTGACATTGTCTTAAAAAATAACCAAAACCCGTAGGCCATTAAGAAGGAAATTTTAGAGAAGTTTAAAAGATGTGTATATGTACAATACTTTTTGAAAAAATTGCAGTAGTTAGAAAACAGGCCCATTTAGCACTAAGCACTGTTTTCCTTTTTGTGGTACTGAGGTTTGAATCCAGAGCCCCTAGAAGTTATGTTCCCAGACCTGTTTTATTTATTTATTTATTTATTTTTTGAGACAGTCTTGCTAAGTTTCTCAGGCTAGGCTCAAGTTTTTGATCCTCCTGCCTCAGCCTCTCAAGAGTGCTAGGATTACAAACATGCACTGCTATGGTCAGCTGCAATGAGCTCTGATTCTGAATCTGCCCTCCCACACTTCAGATGAGATGAAGCTGGGCACTGGTGCACATGTGTGATCACAGCACTTGTGAGGCTGAAGCAGGGGGATGGCTGAGAGTTTGAGGCCAGCCTTGGGCTACATAGTGAGCTTAATTAAGGCTAGCCTGAACTAAGTAGTGAGATCCTGTCTCAAAATAAAAATAAAGACTAAGCAAAACCTAATTTTATAAATGGAATTTTAAAAAATTCTTTTTCAGTAGTGGGGATTGAACTCAGGGCTTTGTGCATGCTAGGCATGTGTGCCACCACTTACTATATCCTCAGCCTCTTAAAAAACTTTTTTAAAATTTTGAAACATGGTTTTATTAGGTTGCCTAGGACTCAGATTTGTGATGCTATTTTACCTCTTGAGAAGCTAGGATTACAGGTGTGTACCAATGACTTCAGCACCTTTTAAATGTTCACATATAGTAGAATATATATATACACTTAGGAAAAAAATTAAGATGTGTGGTGACACATGCCTGTAATCTCTGTGCTCTGGGAAGCTGAGGCAGGAAGACTGAGTTTGATGCCACCATGGGCAATTTAATGAGATCCTCTCTCAAAATTAAAAAATAGAGGGAGGGGAAGAGAGGAATATGTTTTTATACTTTTTGAAAAATATCACATAGTACTCAGCATGGGCAATTTAATGAGATCCTCTCTCAAAATTAAAAAGAAATAGAGGGAGGGGAAGAGAGGAATATGTTTTTATACTTTTTGAAAAATATCACATAGTACTCACTCTGTTTTTCTCCTAGAATTAAATTTCTTCAATTATCAATAGGGCCATAAAAACACATTCATGCCTCTCCCAATTTTTTTTATTATTTCATCTAAGTGCCAGCCAAGTCCATCTACATGATTTAAAACTCTAAACTGAAGCTTCTATTTTATATACAAAAAGTCGTGTTTTTTGCTAAAGCACAGACCTATTTCTATTAACATTAAGAAGAAAGGACTAGGGCCTGGGATTTAGTAGTGGTTCCACTGCCTGCTGTGCAAATGCAAGGACCCTAGTTTGATCCCCAGTATTAAAAAAAAAATAGGACTAAAACATCCTAGAGGATAGTAGTGGCATTCATTGCACTCTCTATAACTCCCCTGAAGTAGAAGCCATTATCATTTTCATCTAATAAAGGAGGAAGCAAAGGTAAAGTAAGATCACATGCTAGGCAATGGCAGACCTGGGTTTAGAGACCCAGGAAATCCGAACCCATATCCTTATTCACTATCTATAATAAAGGATCCATTTTATTGTCCTAACAACTGTCTACAACTAATGTGTTTTTTCTACTGATGAGTAGTTTTGCAATGCAAATAGAGGATATCTGACAATGTCTGGACACAGTTTTGGTTGTCATATCTTGGGCGTGTGTGTGTAGAATTATTGGAAACCAGTGGGCAGAGATTATAGATGCTGTTAGAAATTCTGTAATGTACTGGGAAGTTGCTGCAATACATTATACAAAAACACCGATAATGCTAAAGTTGAGAAAACCTACATAACAGTATAAATTCTAGGCGGAAAGGCAAGGTTTTAGTTAGCTTTGGTTTGCTGTTACATTCTTAGGCCTTTTTTACACTTTAAGTTTTATCAGAAGCATGAATATTTAGCTATTCCTAAGAGCCTAGAACCGTTCCTGGTATACAGCTGCTACGCAATAAAATATTTATTAATGGTAACTGAATTAATGGCAGTGCCCTCAATAAATTTACAAAGCACAGAAAAATGAAGTGAATTTTAGTGTTGTACAGACCTACTGTCCTGGGCTTAATCTTTACTCAAATGACTAAATAAAGCCAGTTCTGCCAAAACAAGTCTCTTAGTTAAGTAAGAATTTCTGGGAGAAAAAAATTTTTTTAATGCCTTTCAATAAATGGAACTGTCTATTAAATATGTGAAGTAAGAGAGTCTTAATGTGAAAGCCTTTAATGTCCATTCAAATAGCATGCATTTAGGGGACTACCACACACTTGTAAAAATTAGAAGTTACCACTAATTAATTGTTCCAGTAGGTGATAAATATATGAAAAAGTTTGAGAGCTTCTTTATGAATTTCACAGAATTGAATTACAACACATAAGACACTGACCTATTCTCTAAAAACAAATACTTGAATCCATGTCATTCAAAGATTTTTATAACTATAATATTCTAAATACAACTTCATTCTATATAAAAAAATTCATAGTGTAGCATCTATCAAAGTATTTTCAATTCTTCCTACTTCACCCTAAAGAGCTACTAAACATTTATTCATAAATAACACTACTTGATTTATAAAATTCCTTCTCAGGGAAAAGTTAAAAAGTTATGTAGATATTGCAATAGGAAAAAAAAACAACCTTGATATATTTCACTCATCTCTTCTGTAATTAATTAATTAATTGACTGGTTTACCCAAATGTTAAATTATAAAACCACATTGTGTAAAATAACATCTATTCCATTTAAAAAGAAGGTAAACCCATATTTATTTACTAGCACTGTTAAAACATTACACAAAACACATTCAAGTGGCAAGTAATTATAATGCAAGCCCTTGCATGGCAATCCAAATTTATTGAACTACTGATGCTAAGTTATACAAAATTGCACCACTTTAATTAAGGCTTTTAGTTTACATTTGGCCACCTCAAAGTAGTTGTAACATTAGGTTGGTCAATTTAAATACTGTGGCTCCCTGTTGGATAGACACACAATCTTTACACCCAAACATTAATGCATACAAAGCAACAAGGCATTGTTAAATAAAACAGCAATAGTTACTGCAAATTAGGCCTTGTGACCAATTACACATGATTAAAATTACTTCCCACATTCACATCCACAGTACTCGTCCACCATTTAACATCTCAACCAAAACGTTACACATGTGAAACAATCACTAACAGGCAAAAATACTAAACCTGTATATTTGGTATTGCAAATACACTTATGCATGAGCAAGCAAGGGATTCACAGTGAGAATCTACAGCTGCAGAAGCTTGAAAATGATTTACAAAAATTGTTAAATCATTAAAAAATTGTTTGAAAATATACACTTCTTGTTGTAGACCCCCACTGTACACACAACTATAAACATTGTTCCCTATGTAAACAAAAAAGGAAACATATAATAAGGAAATTTGAAAAGTCTGGACATTTCCTTCCCAACAGATATTAAAGGCAACGTCTTTAATCTAAGACATTATACTGAAAGGACTATCATATTTTAAAGACAAGATCACTGTCTCCACAGGTTTTTGAAAAATTAAAAAAATTATATAGCTGTGTTAATCAAAGCGCTTATTTTGTACAACACAATGATAATGACCTTGATTTTAAAAAAATTACAATAAGCTACAAATATCAAAGAAGCAAAGTTATCTGGAGTAGTCTATATAGGAGCTCTTTGGACTTTCTTTTATTATGCTAAAATAGTGGTGCTTTTAGGATTTACATTATTGTACTCTCCAATACAAAGTATGGGGTGTGTTAAAGTATACAGTACACCATTTTCATACATGTACAACATTGGTGGATGAAGAAATGTCTCTTAGCAGTAATACTGGATGTAGCCTCTGGTTTTACCAGCTGCATACTCTAGGACTATTATATAAGTAAAAATCTCTCATGATACTGGAAAGTGATTAGAATGTGCAAACTGATATAGTAGCTTTCATCCGCCTCTTAAAGGGTACCACCACAGGAAAGTCCATTTAAGATGTTGGTAGGTTTAACAAAGTTGGAATGCTGGCACTGTTGAATTGGGCAACAGTTCTTCAGACCTGTCAAAAGGTGGAGAGAAAAAAATTGAAAACAGTGTACTTAAGATCCAAAGGAAATAATAAGGCACAGTTTGTAAGTGTTAGAAATAAATATACTACAAGATCTTGTTCTAATTATTGCATTTACAACAATGTACCATAATTTACAATAGAAACACTTACATCTTTTCATTCTAAAAAGATGAAGTCTAGTTGATGTGGTGGCTCAGGCCTGTAATCCCAACACTTTGGGAGACTCAGGCAGGAGGAATGCAAGTTTGAACCCAACGTGGGCAAGGAGACACTATCTCAAAACTAAAACTGAAAAAAGAACTGGGGATGTAGCTCAGTGCCAAGGCCATGGGTTCAATCCCCAGTACAGCAAAGAGAGAGGGGGATTTTTTTTGCTGCCTTCTTTAGAGTCAAATGAACATTTTAGATATAAAAAGGAATATGTCTTTGTGCAAATTTATGTGTACAGTAAGTGCCTCGGTTCACAAATGCTTTTTTTGGGGGGGGCAGGGGATGCAAACAATTTGTTTCACAAAAGCATTTGGCAAAATTTTGTTTTTGTTTACAAACTCTCTATCAGGTGACAAACACAATCATGACTGTGGCCATCTTTTCTAAAGTCATGAAACAAATTAAGTCTATGAACTGAGGTACCATGGTATTTACCTTCCAAAGATTACAATTTAGGTCAAGTCAACCTAGTAAAATTAGGATTAACAGACAGGTAGCAATATTAAAAATGATTGATCCTATAACTGTTTAATCCTGGAATTACACTGTAAATAGAGAAAGCACATGTAACAAGAATTTATAGATTATCAGAAAATTAAGACTTTGTTTCTACACTCTTCCATTAAATGAGTAGCTGAAAAGCTGGTTCAGAATAGACAATTTATTTTGTGATTTTTAAAAACTGTTTTACAGTTAACAATTATCTACTTTCCAATCCCATACTTACACAGATTCTACCAACATAAAAAGCCGATACTATATTAAAATCACGTTTTTTTCTTTAGAGAAAATTAAAGTAAATTAAAGTATCATTTGTGAGTAATGTAAAAGAAATAAAATGAGCTGAATCTGAATTTTCAACACATCTGGGCTTTTAAAATAAAGTTTTTTTTTAAACTTTGTTTTTATTGGGCTCAGACTTGTTATAAGATCCAGGATTAAGATAGATGTGGGTGCTGAAGTAATTTTTTACAAATGCCTAAAACCTTAGGTTTTTATTCTGAGTCTGAATGACATTTGTAATCAAGGCTAGTCTTGAACTCACAGCAATCCTCCTGCCTCAGCCTCCCGAGTGCTGGAATTACAGGCATGTGCCACCATGCCCAGATGTAATCTAGTTTTCTAAAACCTAGAGACTGAATATATCAAGTTGGAAAGGACAGATGCGAGTGTCTGAACTCAGACACATGTGTACTGCTAAGAATGAGCATGTGGTCAGGATAAGAAGAGATCAGAATAAGAGGATCTATCGCTAAACGAAAAGCCCTAATTAGATTACAGAGACAAAAACTCCAAAAAAAAAAAAAAAAAAAAAAAAAAAAAAAACA